GATTAGAATACAACCCCGGAGTTGACTGGACAGTTCTACGTCTCAATAAAGACACTGAAATAACATGGAATCCCCATGTAGACATCGGGCTTCATTTGAACAGTTTTCCTCAATCCTTTTTTTCACCTTGAGATATAAAGTCCTCTTTGGCCCATATAAAAGCCTCACCTTTGTTTTTTCTTCCCCTCCCATTTTTCCCTTCATCGCCTTTCTCTCTTTTCTCCTCATTTGTCACTGTCTTGCAATGAGGACTCCCCCCACAAGCTCTCTGCTCAACCAAATGTCGGCATTCATCACATCAGCCAGGAACAACTCAACAGGCCCTCTAGCATGGCGTATTAGAGAGCAAGATGGGATGAGAGATGATGAAGCTTTGAACCAATTTCTTGCTGCCATAAATGGAAGTAAAGTGTTGAAGTCCTCTGACAAAATCTCATACAACGTATGAAATCAGTATTTTCCAGATTCACCTTCGTAGGGTAATGAGAAATTCTTCTTTGCAAAGGGAGAGTCTGATGTCATATTTACCTCAGACTAAGGTGAAATGTAGAGAAAAAAAATAGAAAATGAAACAAAAGGCTAATATTATATTGGTTCTTTAAAAAAAATGTATGTTTATTAATTTATCTTTTTTTTTTCTTTTTTTTTTTTTTCACAGTCCCTTAAGCATACTGACGATTATGGCTTTTTTTTTTCCTGTGTAGAGAAAAGTTAATGTAATCCTGGCATGTAGGGATTTGCATGTTCTGCAGCATCCTCCCACTCTCCCAAAACATATGTTAGGTTATCTTGTTGTTTTGAGCCTCCAATAGTAGTAAGTTTATCCATCCACCCATCCATTATACAACACGCTTTATCCCTTATGGGGCTGCTAGAGGTGCTGGTGTCTATCTCCAGAGGCCAATGGGGTAGAGGCGGAGTTCACTCTGGACAGGTCATCAGTCCATCACAGAGCAACTCAGAGACAAACGGGACAAACAATCATCAAGGAGTCAAGGAGAATTTAGAGAGACCAGTCAAACTCTTAAGGAAACTTTAAGGCGAGAGACTATGCGTGAACACCAGGTTTTTGGAGAATTAAACTGCAAACAGATTTTCAAACTGTGAGCCAAACTTTACTTCCATATGTAGAAACAAGATGTTAAAGTTCCTGCTTTGAGATGGTGTTAAACCTAACACTTCCTTGTCAAATAAAAACCCTTTCCAATTTCAAATTAAACTGTTCAGGGATCTTCCATCACCAAGGATTTAAAACACAACCACATGATTAGGCAAGGGAAATATACGAATAAGCTATTTGGTCAAGACCTTTCCATGGTAAACAATATTCTTAAACTGATCTGAAGTGTTAATCTCAGCAAATGTCTTTTTTTGTCTATGATATGTGCTGGGGCTTGAAAACATCCTCAAGCAAATCCTGTAGCAAATGCAACCTCAGTAAAATACTTGTTGGACTTATCTATTTTTAATTAAAACCTGAATAGTTTTTTCAAAACAGATAACAAACATCTGTGATTTATGACATTCACGACAGAAGCAGCGGAAAGACCACTCAGTCTTCAGCAAAGTTACTTTAATTATTAGCATTTTCAAGCCTTTTCAATAACTGCTTGAGAGAAAAAAGTGACTCATAGAGCAAGTACATGAAAATGGATATATGACATTCAAGATTGAAATTCTCAATAAATGAACTCAGTGGTGCCACAATAAACATGCATAATTACATTCAAGCCCTCCCTAACATGACGGAAAGGGAAGGATTAAAGTGTCATCTTGTGTTTTTAGCAGTTTTACAGGAACATTGTAATGTCACAGTATTCACAAACAAAACAGAAATTCACGCAGCATATGGTGCCCTTCTCTTATTTTTATACAATGTGATAACTTTGACGCTTTTTAGCAGCTTTACAAGCAACAGCTTAGCTAAGGAAATAGTTTTATGTGAATCAGACTCTATGTAGTTAATGTTAGTTGTGTGTGCAAGACAACTAAACAGTGCAATTCGATCAAAAGTGGTTCATCTTTTAGTTATGCAAAAAAAGTTATTGCAGCTTTTTTTTTTATTTTGAATTTTTTCACCCTTCTAACAAATATGGTTGTGCTTCAGTTGAACTGTACAAAGTACTAGATGAAAAAATACTGAAAACTCAAGGTGAGGTTTTTTTTTTTCACCTCACAAAAACATGGCCATTTGACAGAAATGTGTACACTTTTGATACAAACTTTAGATACAACCTTCTTTCAAATCATCATTACCTTTCATGATCCACACCTGAGCCACCCCAGGAGGCTGTCATAAACCCATCTGCCCTATGGACAGGCAGTATGCAATTGTGGAACATGTGTGACACAGAATAAAAGAGTCTACTGATGCACACAGAGCGGAGATGTGGCATCATCCTTTACTTTCTATCTTATTTGAGCTTTATGTTAATCAGTAGAATCTATGACACCATTTTTAACCAGAACGATTTCCATTTTACAAATCTATTGTTTGTCCGTTACATTCTCATACATTTATGTAAGGACCGGTTCTCATTCATTCGTCTCACTTGAAGCAGTGAGATGAATGAATGAGCATGCTAGACAAAAATAATCAGAAATTGTGCAATTAGAGTGACATAAGATTTTGTTGGCAATTGCTGCCCATGCATTAAATCCAAGATAAATTTAACCTGCTTGTGATTCCTTCACTTTGATTGCGTGCTGAAATACAGACCCCTCCCCATGCCCCTTGCAATGAAGGTAGCACATGCTAGCTTGATGTTCTTCCATTTTACCACAGTAATCAATTACTTCCACCTCCAGGTCAAAACTGGTAACAGAATTCTCCAAAATGTTACTTTTTAGTCTCACATAGCCTGAATAAAATGAAGCTCTTGTCCAAGACATTTTCTCTTTGGTCTGGAGGGAGCAGAATTATACCTTATGTGGTCCATCATCAGCTGACTAAGCTCTACCTTTTGGTCCCACAGTGCATCAGTTTTGGCCATCTTCAAACTCAGGACAAAAATTAAGGTGAAAACATTTTTACATTTCCTATGGGTCCCATATGGTCTAACGGTTAGGATTCCTGGTTTTCACCCAGGCGGCCCGGGTTCGACTCCCAGTATGGGAACTTCTTGTTTCTACAATTTCTCTGATAGTAAATCCCAAAGGGATGAATAATTTATGTTTGCATCGAAAAAAATCTACAAGAGTCAACAATATGTCAAACATGAAGGCTTCACTTTCACATCTCGGGCTTACATTACAGTTATCTCAAGGCAACTTCACATTAATAATGCTGTGCAAGAAATAATTTACAAGAAATATTATGGAAATTTAATAATGCTCCATCCTCACCAGTTTCATTGTTAATGTATTACGTCAACGTTAATGCGGCCCGAACCGCTGCGTGCACCCCCACAAAAGTGGTACTAAAACGATCAGCTTGATCCCAAGAAGGAAGTTACTACTTTTAGTGGGATTCTGAGTTAAAATGATGACATCAATTGCGAAAAACGAGGCTGGGTGTCTCACAGAGACAGGAATCTTTCTCTCTGACACACAACACACACACAGACACACACAGCACTACGGAAGAGGATTAGGGCCACTAGAAAAAAGAAAAAAAAAATCTGAATTTAATCTCAGAATTCTGAGATTAAAGTCAGAACTGTTTTATTTTTATTTTTTTTCAGTGGCCCCAATCCTCGTCCGTACAGCACAGTGCATTTCTGACTCCAAAACTATTTTTAACTCACCCTCACGGCCACAAATATCACTCCTTTGGTCTCAAAGTCGGTCATGACATTGATGCCCATGCCTGCTCCCATAAAATGTTTTCAAAATTTTGCTTGGGCTTATGGTTTTTTGTCAGGCTCCTTGAGACTGACACTTGATGTCTCACAAGGATAGAAACTCTCTCTACCATACTGACAGAGCCAGCCCAGATGGCGATCGTTAATTACCATAGCAACGGGGCCCAGACAGAGGCAGTGAGAAATCTCTAGCGCCCTAAGGGTTCCAGTCTCGGCCATCCTCAAAATTAGGTCAAAAATTAAAGTGAAACTGTCTTCACAGTTCTTACAGGTCCCATATGGTCTAGCGGTTAGGATTCCTGGTTTTCACCCAGGCGGCCTGGGTTCGACTCCCGGTATGGGAACTTCTTGTTACTACAATTTACCTGAGGATAAAACCCCAAAGGGATGAATGAAGTATCTAAATACTTGACTCATCTATATTTGCGTCAAAGAAATGTGCAGAGGCAGTGAGAAGTCTCACGAACAGGCTCATAGAGGTCTCACAATGCATTGTGGGAAAATACATATTTCCTGTGACTGTTCATATTTTGCTTACATAAATTTATTATTTCTAAGAATTTTTGAGTGTGAATTAAAATCCTTAGTATGAAGGTTGAACATTTTTTTTTTTAGAAATAAACAATTACCCACTGTCTTTATTTCTGTTATTTCGCACCGTGAGTCAGAACCACATGTGCGAAGCTTATAGTCAGTCTGTTTTCATACAGCCTTTGAACTGTAGTGATGAATCTGGTCACCTGTAGTACTATGATGATAAATTTTAGTTATTGCACTATTGTGGTGGACCATATTTAGCTGCACTGATGTTTACCAAGGTTAAGCTCAGCTGTGCGAGCATCCTGGTTTGTTATTGTGTTACTTGTTTAGTGTCACAACGCTGGGTAGAAACTAACAGTCTCACTTTGGCGGTTTCAGTTAAATTTCTTCAGGAATTTAATTTGTCTATGTATATACATATAACCTTATGTGGTCCATCAACTGACCAAGCTCTACACCAAGCGTCCTACAGTGTTCCAGTTTCAGCCATCCTCAAAATGGGATCACAAATTAAGATAAAAAAAGTTTTCACAGTTCTTACAGGTCCCATATGGTCTAGCGGTTAGGATTCCTAGTTTTCACCCAGGCGGCCCGGGTTCAACTCCCGGTATGGGAACTTCTTTTGTTTCTACCTGAGGGTAATCCCAAAAGGATGAATAAAGTTTCTTTCTACTTCAATCATCTGTATTTGCATCAAAAAAATGTGCAAGAGTCAACAATATGTCAAACTTTCACATCGCAGGCTTATATTACACAGTTATTTCAAGGCAGCTTCACATTAACTGGATAATGCTGTGCAAGACAGACATAACTCTGACAAGAAATATTATGGAAATCTAATATTGCTCATACTTATTCTAACATATCTTGTTACCTCCCCCAGTGATCCCAACCACACTGCTAATAAAATCTGAATGGGATCTTCTACATTTAGCTAATGATAATCACATCCTCACCAATTTCACAACAATGACTTTGGGGCTTGCTAAATGTAAAAAATAAAAATAAGAAGACATTACATTGTTCATTCAATATGAAGCATCCATGAAACTTCATGACATATTTGAGATTGTGTAATGTGTAGAAAACCTCTTTGTCTTTCAAAATCTTGCTCATTTGGCATATGCCCCCTTCGGTGATATTGAACAGAATGAACAAGTAAGCATCTATGGACTTATCTGTGTAATTTTGCAAGATAAGAGAAACTCAAATGTCTTTTGAAGGGGTCTTTCATTTTTTATTTCTCCTGTAATGAGAGGTAGGTAGCCATTGTTCCCTGCTGCGTCTTCTTCTATATTGACACATTCTTGTTTCAGAGACATCTTATCCACTCCCTGTGGCCTTCAGTGCCACCTCGCCACTGTTCTTTATAGATTCAACCCCATGGTAAGTCTAATCTTTAGACACAGCAAGCAAAGTTGCAGTGATCCCCTTTCAAAAGACAAGACAAGGGGAGGTTGAGTTCACAGAATATGACATATGTCACAAAACAGGATCCCATTATACTGATATGACTCTTCCTGAGGCATTCTATTGACAACCCACAGCAGGTGATTGCCGATTAATCTCTCCACCACACTGACATTCAGTGTGTCAAAGCGAGTACTGGGATGGATAGTATAGTGCTACGGTGAGACTTTGCGGAGGGATAAATACACACAACACCAAACAGTTTCCACCTAGCATTCAGCACAGCTGGTGAACTACTGCCGTGTCTCACATAAGAGGAGGAAATCCTTTTCGAGCCAGGAAATTCTGCCTGTGTGTTCATAATTGCCTAATTGTTCTCACTACAGTATTACTGTCAATTTTCAGGTAAATAAATAATAATAAAAAAAAAGTTTTGCTTGGTATTGTTGTCAGATAAAAGAGGGACAACAAATGTGCTTCTTTTACTAAGGAAGAGTTAATCATTCAAAAATGAATGCTATTTAGTTTACGTTAAAGTCCAAGTTGCTTTTCTGAAATATGGAGTGACCAAGAAAGCCTAGTTAAAGAAATAGACTGAAATAGCTTAACTGAAATAGACATTCATATTCAAAGGTCTTGTGCATTTTAATTTATATTTATGGCATGTTGGAGCTATACAAGGTTTAGCTAATTTTTTAAGGGTGTAATCAGTAAAAAAAAAAAAAAAGTCCAAATAAATTCTTAGCAAAACAAATAAGATCACCCTAATTTGTCATCTAATTGGCCGGTAATTATGTCATAAATCATTATGACAATGACAGGTAGCTCCAATTATGCATGTCATGGTTGGGACAGCGCATTGTCAGATGCTGTCATTCTTAGATATTAAACTGCATGAAACTCACCTTGTTTATTCAGTGTTAAAGCTGTCAAAGGCAGATAATTGAAGAATTTCTTATCTGAAAAAAAAATCTATCAATTTCTCTAAAGTGCACCTTTTATTTTTCTGATTGACATTGAAGCCATAAGTACTATGATTACATAATAATTAGAAATCTATCCATTAATTGTTTCACTCCATTCTGTTCAGGGGTCATGTGGCCAGCTGGTCAGCCAGGGAAATGTCAAAGTGGATGAACTCACCATATGTTTCTAATGTTTATTCATACTGTACATTTCCACCTTACTGTACATTTATTCATCATGCTTTAATTTGACATTTTTCTTCATGGAGTATCGCAGGTTTGTTTGTGTTTGCACCCCCCCCCCCCTACACACACACACACACACACTGCACAACCAGAAAAAATTATATCTGTTTGAATTGTAGAAAATCAGCTTTTACATGTTTTGCAGAGAGTCTGTTTTAAACTTGTGTTGCAGAGGCAATTGTTGGGGGCCACTTGGTCTTTAAACGCAATACCAGACAGAAGGAACCCTGCTGAAGTATGCCTTGTCTGACGTTCCCTCCTCTTTTGCACTGTGCATTTGCATTCTGGGTGCGTCTTATAGCCGACGGTGACAGCTATTTAGCATTGTATTTGAATAACTTTAAAAAGACCTCTTCAAAAGAGCGCAGGGATGGTAACAAGAGTAAGAACTAATAACAGATGGTGTTGAAACTCCATGTTCTCATCAGGGGGTATTGCAAGTCCTCATCCTTTTAAGCTGTGAATAATGAAGTGTGCTTCACATACTTGGTTTATCAAGCTCTAAACATCGTAAAATCTGATCAAGGCAAGTTAGAGTAAGTGGAACCGATCATTATGAATAAAATGTATCAAATGAATAAAGATCTGTAACCCTGAAATGTTTTTATTGGCCCCCTTACTTGAAAAGAGGAGGCGCTGCAAGCATTTACATCAGTTTATCAGAAAAAGTAACTGTACCAAATCACTATGGTACACAATATATAGCACAAAAGTGTACCCATAACAAAATGTTTCTCAAGTATGTCAACAGAAACATTTTGGTAAATAGATCATGGCCCAAACAAAAAAGACAATGTTTTAGAAGTTGTAAAGGTAGTCACAATGTCTCTGAGAATAAGTCTACTCCCACGCCGGAAATGTAGCTTTACATTTCAATTTAAAATCATTTTAAATTGAAGACGGTGCTCTTTGTGTTGCATTGTATTCAGGGAGCTCTGTGAGGGAGAATCTCAGCTTGGCGACTGCAGCTCTGAGGTGGAGCTGCGTACGAAAGGTAATGCTCAGTGAGAGCAAGCGTTTTGGCAGCCCCGGATGGCAGCCATGGGAGATTAAAGAATTTGCCAACATGCATGAATGAAACAGCAACACTCCATGTTTGTTTTTGATGAGGGGAATGGCATTGTAAGCTCAAGAATGTAACTTTTACATAATACTGCCCATATCTGGAATTGTATTTTTTTTTTCAACAGCTAGGAAAAACTTTGCAAACATACAGAGCTTGAACTTACTTGTTGTCTTCATTCCAAAGGTCTCCCTGCTCTGCATCATCCACAGTCTCTTGACCTTATCTCTGTAATTACATTCTCGTGCATCGTGGCAGCAAGTGCCACACGTAATTGGACTGTTAGACTTACGCCTGTTGTCTGCGTCTTTTCGTTTACTGTTACCTCCTTCGCACTACCCCTCAAACTTTGTAATCATTCCATTTGCTTTTTAAACCAATGTATCCACTTATTTCTTAGTGTTCTCAGCCGTCCCCTTAAGACTCACTATTTCTGTTGCTCGTCTCCCCTCTGTTTATGGAGACGGCTGTCGCCAGGCAGTGGGTGGTGCAGACAGAGGCAGGGATTAGAGGTCACTTCACAAGTGTAGCTACTAATTACCAGAATTGTAATGAATATTTTCAAAGGGAGATGCTGTGGACACACAATTCAGACCCTTCATTTCATCTTGTGTTTTTTTTTTTTTTTTTTTTTTTTTTTTATTTCTAGCCGCTTCTCCCTCAGATCTTCTCCAAAAACACTCGGTGACTTCTATTTCCATGGACACAGGCGCCTCCCCGCACCTGCGTGAGCATGTTTTGCAACACGAGCCCCACTTGGACACATCCACATTGTTGTTTC